AAGGAAAAAAAAAAAAAAAAAAAAACTACAGATCTCGCTGTTGGTCCTTTGCCTGACCCCTGGGACGATCCGCAAACAACCGCACGGATCGCTTCCAAGTGATTTTCAGACGGGTGGGCTCTGTGACGAGCCGTTGTCACCCGATGTAGGGATCTCAAATATTGGCCCCCTTTTAAAGAAATTCGCCGAAGACATCGGCGTATCAATGTGGCTGTCGAGAATGGAAACTGAGGAAGCTGGAGAATTCACAGAACTGTGACGCCCCTGAAGTAAGTCTGACAGTAACGAACCACTAGGTGATCGACGATAGCATCGTATCCCTGACTTTGGGGTATAAGGTTGGTCTAAACTTGCTTACATACGTACGATCCGACTCCATCCCTTTGGATCGGATTTACCACACTGATTTCCCATGCGTCAATCTTAATCTCCATTACTTGATGATATGGGGTCATTGTTCACAGATGATGCAACAACGACAATCATCACAGTCACTAGACTTACTCAGGTTAGTACATACCATAGTCAACTTTAGATAGTTGACTAAGGATTACCAAACTGATAGAGATGCAGTATACGGAGTACCGTACGCGTCTTGCAGCGCCACAGGAAACTAAACTTCAGCTGCGTGGCGGTGCTCGTAATATCAGCCACAGTAGCCTATTTTCTTTTGCTTTTTCTTGTTTTCTTCTTTTTTGATCTGCAGGGCTTTCCCATCGTCGCATCCGAGGGGCTTCCTGGTCTACTACCTAGTCGTCTCATCGTGCACGGATGAAGTTGAGGAGAATTTGTCAGAAGTTGTCAAATAGTGCTGATTGATATGCACCAATGAACTCCATTCCCGGGGCCGACTCTCAAGCCACAGCGCCTTGATTTACGTTGGCTTGGCTTCGTCCTTTTGTACGAACGCTGCTCAGCGCTCAGGGCCGCTGCCGTTCTCTCTCTCTCTATTTTTTTTTTTTTTTTTTTTCCCTTTGGCCCCTTTCAGGCTTCCTAGTAGTTCCTTTCCCACTTAGGAGATGTGATGTTATGCTCCACGGGTAGATGCACTGCAGTACTTCGAGGGAATCACACTGCAGTCATTCGAACTAGTATGCGGGTCAGGAATACCCAGTTTCGTTGGCTCTCTCGTCTTTCAAGCAGGTCAGGCACACACCTTTACATCCTGCTCAATAACTTCTCTCCATTTAGAAAACTCTACCGGTGTGATTGATACCCCGTCTTCACTCAGTACATTCACATTCGTCTAAAAAAGTCTCAAAAAAAAGAATGGTAGAACGGAGAACCCACTTCCCAGTGGTATCCCTATCCTGTATCGCTATCCCTTGCGTACTCCGAGTACAGTATCAGAAACAAGCTAAAGCCACAACTACACAGCACTGGTAGGCTCCAGTCCGTCCCCAATGAACAACGCGGCGGGGATTACGCCGATCACGATTACTGTTGCTTCCAGGTTAAGGGAAGGGCGGCTGAAGTCGACCTGTCTTTTTCCAGAACTCCATCGCCCCCTTCTGTAAACGAGGTGTTTGCCATGGCGTTCTCGGCCTGCAACCCAAAGTTCTTCATCTCATCCCTCGAATCTGTTCTGGAACAGCTCGTGTGGATGCGGATTGCTGCCACAATCCAGTTATTCCCTGTTTCGCCCGAATCGCATTTTTGATCGTTATCTGGGATGCTTTTCAAGCTTTCCCTCCTTTCTAGATCGGGTCCGACTTGCGTCTGACGGCCATTTTTACATGTAATAGGTCTTCTTTTTCTTGCTCAATCTGAGCTTATCGGAACTTGCTAAGTCTCTGTTGAGCATCAGGTTGTCGGTGAGCAATGTCTAACCGTACGACGTTTAACTTAAACATTAACTATTCCATGATATATTGCACCTGGATTCCGGAATGAGCAGGACTTTAAGATCTATCATGCAGGGCAGGTAGGCGGTGATGCCTCGGCAAAGATCTCTCGGTGTAGAGGTCACCTTTCCGAAAGCTCTCCCGGATGGAGCTTGCTCCATATCCTCTATCTTTCTGATTAGAGCCACTTCACACCGCCATCGCTCAAGGTTCGCGATGGGTCTTTTATGGATCCTCGTCTACATCGCGGCGTTTTCTCGCCACGCTCGCCTTCCTTAGTCGGTAGTAATAGTAGTACTTGTTTCTCAGAATCTCGGCCAGACTCGACTCAGCCAGCCTGGAACCGTTTCAGCCCCAGTCGTTTGGCGTTGTTTCATCTCCATTGGGGGAGCTCGAGCCGTCGCTTGGGATGGAGCTTCTGAGCGAATTCTGAGCGAACATCGTACCGTCCAAGCATTAGCGCCATGCAAGGCAACTTCCTTACTTGTACCTACATTTGTACATGTCATATCACCTGAACGGGTCCCGTACTTTGTCTATGTACTTTGGAGTATGCGTTCTAACCTTCTATGTACAACGAAACTAAAACAAAACAAAACAATGTCTACACGACCCTGGGACCCAGCACAAAACTTGGAAAAGAAATACGAAGGTGGAAACCCAGGCCAGTCTAGTCTATCTATTGATCCCATATCTCCCCTTTATTGATATGCATCCCGAATCTCCAACTGAATGCGTCCATCAACCACGCCCTTGACCGAAAGACTTCTCAAGTCCTCCACAATCCAGTCTGCACCAGCCTCTTGAAGCTGCGCCAGCGAGTGGGTCGTCGTCAGTGCGATCACCTTGAATCCCGCAGCCTTGCCTGCTCTAATGCCCGAGGGCGCATCCTCAAGCACGACTAGCGATGACGAATGTTCCAGGCCGAGGCGTTTACGGCCGAGCAGATAGCACCGCGGATCAGGCTTGCCCAGCTCGACATCCTCCGCGACAACAAGCATTTTCGGATGCGTGAGGTTCATGACGCCTAGCCAACCATCGATGAGTGCGCGCGTGCCAGAGGTGACGACACCCCAGCAGGCACCGCCATCGTCGAGCTGCGAAAGGAGGTACCTAGCGCCGGGGATTTCAACGGCGTCGGAGCCAAATTCTTTAGGGATGCGGCCTTCGATAGAGCTGACATCTAGAGCAATCGATCATCAGTCCATGCGCTTCCTCCCTATCCCCCGCCACTCCTCTTATCATCACTCGCTGATATGGATCTCCCCGAAAGCGAGGAACCATGACATGAACTTACACTCCCAATTCGCCCGCTTCGGGTCATACAGCTGCAGTGTATCAATGCTCCGACGTCCATGAGACGTGGCCAGAATAACCTTAGGGTCAACTCCTAGCTCCTCGCCGACCCTGTCGTTGGGTTAGAACCATGTGGCTATAGTTCGGCGGGGTCAGACTAACTTGTACCAGTGCTTCACAATCGCTTGACGAGACACCGAAATTTAGCATTTTGTCATAATATAGTATCTTTCTACTCAAAGAGATTTTTAATTTCTTACCATCAGTAGAATCGACGATAGTTCCGTCGAAGTCTGAGAGGAGGCCATCAAAAGTGACGACTTGCGGAGGGGCTGAGAATGAGCCTTGGCCTTTAGTCATTGTGCTTATAGATTGACCAGGATATTCAATGAAAATAATAACCAGAAAGAGCGAGCAAAGAAAGAAGCGGGGGGAGATATCTAGAACAGGGTTTCTAAGTAAAAGTATCTCACAACGAAACAAACGGAGAATTCGGCGACCCAAACCACAAGAAAGTAAATGGTTCAAATCCCAATAGATAAGAATTCCTTCCTTATGGACCGGGCACAAAATCCGCGGGATGGTCGGAGATCGGTGGTATATTACTCCGGTTATCTTAGCGCGGGTAAAATAGTTTGCACAAAATTGTTCGGACGGCGAGCTTGTGAGATAGAAGAAAAAACTTCTAGTACTCCCTTCTACCCTTGTTTTGTGCTTTTTTTTTTGGTTTCAAGGGGAGATTTGTGTAATTCTGTCAACATGGTCAAGCTAGGTAAGCTTTTCACCAGGTCTTTTCTGTCTGGTTCGAATGTATATTAACCGTTCCCAAGGCAAAAACTCGAAGCGGACGCCCGTCCGGTTACGACACAAGATCGAGAAGGCTTCTGCGGCGAAGCAACGGAAGCAGAGAAAGCTTGCCAAGAAGGTATGTGTTTGTTCTTCTTTTCAATTGTCTGGTGGAAGAGTTTAGGTGGTTAATACTGTCATTGCAGAATCCCGAATGGCGTTCAAAGATCAAGAAAGATCCGGGTATCCCTAATTTGTTCCCCCACAAGGCTCAGCTTCTTCATGAGATTGAGGAGAGGAAGCGATTGAAGGCCGAGGAACAGGAGCGCATCCGTGATGAAGCGCGCGCTCGCAAGAAGGCACAGAAGGAGTCGCAACAGCAAGGAGACGACGCCGAAGACGTGATGGAGAATGATATTGATCTGGAGGGTGACTTTGACGATGAAGATATGGATGAAGATGCCGATGATTCGTCGAACCCTATGGCTGCGCTACTTGCCTCTGCGCGCGCGAGAGCGGCAGAGTATGATGATCAACATGAGAGCGATGATGATGATGATGATGAAATGGACGAGGATGACGATGAGGATATGGACGGTATGGATGAGGACGAGGAAGATGGCGGTGCTGCGCCGGGCGATTCGGCTCCCCAGCTTGTTTCACAGACTCACAGCAAGGAGAGCTCTCGGCGGCAATTCGATAAGGTGTTCAAGCAGGTTGTTGACGCTGCGGATGTTGTGTTGTATGTGCTTGACGCTCGCGATCCGGAGGGCACGCAGTCCAAGGATGTGGAGCGTGAGATTATGGCGGCAGCTGGTGGAAACAAGAGAATGATCCTCATCCTCAACAAGATCGATCTTATCCCTCCGCCGGTGCTGAAGAACTGGCTGGTCCACTTGCGCCGATACTTCCCCACCCTGCCTCTGAAGGCCTCCAATGGCACCGCCAACGCTCACAGCTTCGACCACAAGCAGTTGACCGTCAAGGGTACATCAGAGACGCTTTTCAAGGCTCTCAAGTCCTACGCGCACAGCAAGAACCTGAAGCGGTCCATCTCTGTCGGTGTGATCGGTTACCCCAACGTCGGAAAGTCCTCTGTCATCAATGCTCTCACTGCCCGTCTCAACAAGGGCTCCAGCAATGCATGCCCTACTGGTGCCGAGGCCGGTGTCACCACAAACCTGCGGGAGGTGAAGCTGGACAACAAACTCAAGCTGATCGACTCCCCCGGTATCGTGTTCCCGAACGCTGAGAAGAAGAAGACCAAGAAGAAGCAGGTAGAAGAGCGTGCACGCCTCGTCCTCCTGAACGCCATCCCACCGAAACAGATCGAGGACCCAGTTCCGGCCGTGTCCCTGCTTCTCAAGCGTCTGTCTACCTCCGAAGACCTCAAGTCGAAGCTGTTGCAACTCTATGGCATCCCCGCTCTTTTCAGCAGCGGCGACCAGACTCATGACTTCTTGATCCACGTTGCCCGCAAGCGCGGTCGTCTGGGTAAGCACGGTGTGCCCAACATCGAGGCCGCGGCCATGACCGTGATCAATGACTGGAGGGACGGACGGATCCAGGGATGGGTGGATGCTCCTGTGCTGCCAGTTGTCGCCGCGACAGATGGGGCTTCGGCTCCTGCGGCCGCTGCGTCGGGTGTGGATACGAAGCAGGTTGTCACTGAATGGGCCAAGGAGTTCAAGATCGAGGGTCTGTGGGGTGATGGCGCTGATGAGGAGATGGCGGAATAATCTGGTTTATTTATTCTTGTCTGCTATGGATACATGGATACCAAAAAGGCGTTGCCTGGCTTTTTGTTCTTAAGACGGTAGAATGATGTTCTTCAATGTCAATATCAAGTTATGAAATGGTTAAACATAGTTTCAGTTCACGGGGTCCTGTAGATAGGAGATCGATTGCTCGAGAGCCCAATATGACAAAATAAAGTCTGACTAAATGAATAGGGGAAAAAAGAAGAAAAAAAAAAAAAAAGATAGGTACCCTACTAGAAATTATGCACAAAACAAATCCCACTTCCAGTTCTAAAAAAAAAAAAATTAAGTTTTTCTGCAGAATCCAACCTGAATATATATCTTCACCCAACAAACAATGTAAGAAACTCACAAATATATAAGAACTATACAACAAAACAATCCATAATAAATAAACCATACCAGTTACTACACAAAGTCCAATTTAGCATCATACAAGTACTAAATCATAAATACCATCAATAACATCAAGTACCAGTTATACCAGTAGCACTGTGAAGTAGTAGTAGTAGTAGTAGTAGTAGTAGTAGTAGTAGTAGTAGTAGTAGTAGTAGTAGTACTGTAGTCGTAACCCCCGCAGGAGAAAAAAAATGATGTATGCAAAACCCATCAATTGATAAGATTTAATCAAACCAAATGATGAATTGCCACCGCTCTCTCTCCACGCGCCTCCGCATCGCGTCGCGTTTTTCTTTTACCCTTTCATCTCAATTTCCTCCTTCAATTCTAGGAACCAACGAAAACCCAAGGACAAATATCGATTTTACCCCTAATCGGTATCTATCCCAGAGTCATCCATCCCTACTAGAAAGCCAGGAAAAAGAAGAAAGCAGCAACATCATCCCCCGATGCCACCTCCACCCTCCACATCTAATCCAACAAAAGAGTTATAACCAAACCAACCACCCAACACCAATCCTGAAAACAAAAGAAAATCCGAAGAGAAAAAAAGAAAAAAAAAAAGAATAGAATAGTACCGACAATGCCACCCCGGAAATCCACGGGCGAAACCGTCGAAGACCCAGCATCCTCACCACAAGCCCAAACGCAATCACCGCCGACACAATCGCAACCGATCCAAGCGACAGAGCAACAACTTAAGGCTAGGGCTGAGGGGGGTGTGAGTATTGAGGTTAGTTGAGGATATATTTTTTTCCCCTCCGCTTTCCTGGTTTTTCTTTTGTTCTTTTACTATGCCAGGTTTGATTTGTGGGAATGGTTTATCTATTATTTACGAGGTATTGGATATAATAACTAATACATAATGCAAAATAAAAGGACTACCTCCTCCCCCGCTCCCTAACACTTCGACTCGCGAAATCGGTCCTCCCGCCTAACACCTCCATCCAGAAAGATGCAGTCCTCGCTATCCAGAAAGCGGCGACGGTGTTTGTGTCATATCTCTCTTCGCAGTATTACTCCCCCACTCCCCTCTCCCCCCCGGCACACACACACACATTCTCTTTGTCCTTCCTTTCCTTTGTGTTGGACGGTGAAGGTATGTTGTGGTTAGTGGGTATTTATGATGGCTAAAATGTGTATCTTTCTTATAGTGCCAATGAAGCGACTTTGAAGCGGACGGTTGCGCCATCGGACGTCTTTAGTGCGATTTCGGAATTGGAGTTTGATGGGTTCCGGTCGAGATTGGAGAAGGAGTTGGATGCGTTTACGGAGTTGAAGGCCGGGAAGAGGAAGGCGAAGAAGGGAGATGCTGAGGCAACTGCTGCGGAGGGCGGGAAGGGAAGTGCTGCTTCGGAGGGTGGTGCTGCTGCTTCTAGGGGGGTGAAGAGAGTGAAGAGGGTTGAGGGGGAGGAGGCTGCTTCTAGTCGGCCGGAGGAGGGGGATGATGGGGATGAGACGCAGGATGAAGCGGAGCAGGTGGATGAGCATGAGCATGAGCATGAGTCGGAGGCCGAGGAGGAGGATGAGGGTGAAGATGAGGAAGAAGAGGAGGAGGAGGAGCCAGGCGAGGAAGAGGATATCGATCGGGTGGAGGACTTGGATCGTGACTCGAGGGCGAGACGGGTTATGGACCCGGATGCTGCTGGGGATGAGTCGGACAGTGATGACGATGCTGGGCCGTCGTCACAGTTGAGAGGGGACTTGGGGTTGGGTTGATTTTCTTGTAGCGATTATGGTTTTGTTGCTAATCGATAAATTGTTTGTTCTACATTATATGTATGGGTCGATGGTAATTATTGAGATGTGCAAGAATGCCGATTCATTTCCAAGCATATGGTATGGATGATAGATAATGCGACCAATGTATACCAAACTCCACAACCGACAACAACCCAAACGCCGACCCGAAGGACCAGATACATGATCATCATCCCATAAATTATACAGAAGCAGACGCGCATCGTCTGAACCACCATTCATAGTACAGCACCCCAGTGGAAGCAGCGGGAGGCATCGCTTCATGCTGTTTCTCTTCCATACCCATTGCCCACCAAACGCCATTGCAACATATGCATAGTCTATCCTGGTATCTTGACAGTTCAACAGACGGTCCTAAGGTAAAATAAACAGAAAAATAAGAATGACGAAGAATAGAAGAAGATAGACTAAAAATGACATGCGACAAGTGCCATGCAGTCATGCGGCCGGCTGATTTAACAACTGGCTCATCCCATTCGGAACAGATTTGGGGGAAATCGTGTCCGGTTGGCGCCAACGACTGCTGCGTTGGGGGGTCTCTTCTCCCTTCTGAGCCACCTGAGGAAGCATTGGGCCATTGTTGCGAGCCGCGCCCGGGGGCAGTGGGTGCATTGGCTTGTTTTCCTCTTTCTCCAGCTTGACCGCCTTTTCCGAGTCGGTCGCGACCTTCTGCGCCTTGGTCACCTTGCTGAAGGTGGTAATCCGGGAATTCTTGGCCGACTCGTCTTTCTTGGTCTTCTTGCGAGGGGCACTCTTCTTTGCCGCTGGCTTCTTGGGCTCTGCGGTCTTCGACGCCTTGAGCACTTCCTGGAGACTGCGCCCGCGACTGGCGGGATTGGACCGAGATCTGGCCGCGCCCTTCTTCGGTACTTGTGAAGTCTCCTCGTCGTGACTGGAGGAAGGCGTGAGGAAGCCCGTTTGGGTCTTTTGTTTCTTCTTCGGCGTTTCGATGACAATCGACACTCCATGCTCGTGCTTTACGCGCTCCACCTCAGATGCATTGCATTCATCGAAGACATTCTCGGAGTGATCATCCCACTGTTTCAGGGCGGCCAGCCGCGCTACTTCCTCACAATCCCCCTTGACCATCAAGTCCCAGCAATCTTCAAACTCTTTACCGGCCGGGGGTTCATTGTTGATCCACATGGTCACCCCGTTTCGCCGACTCCGGATGACGGAACAAAGGCTCTTCACCAGGCGCCGCACACCGGGAATTTTTAGGCTAGTGCCCACCACGATCAGCGCGTCTGGGCGCGAACGTACATCAGCATTCATGACCGAAGTAATGGCTTCCTCATCCGGGTTATGTTCGTTGTAGAGCACGATCCGGGGCCGCATTTTACCGATGCCATGACTGCGCTGCCCCGTCTCGATGCGGAACTGGTTGTTCCTTGCGCATTCTGGACATTCCGGAGCATCTGGACGGTCAAACATGGCACCATCGAAGTCACCGAGATGACGGCATTTCTGGCACACCATCTTCTCCAGGCTTCCGTGCAGCTGGATGGTGCGCGGCCATGGGGCCTTCACATTCAATGGGATCTGAGTGGCCAAGGGAGGCATCGAAGTCTCAATGCCATCGATGTTCTGGGTGTACAGGCGGGTCAGACGATTTTCTTGGCTCAGCCGAGCCAGCATGTGGTGAAAAGCCGTTGGGGAGGTCTTGGCAGCCTCTTCGGACAGCGACCGCACCATGTCTTGAAAGGAGGCGGTTAGTGTTTCATCTTGATAGACGGCAGCATCAAAGAGGAGTTTCCCCGACGCTTTGAGGTTGTGTTTTTTCTGTAGAGATTTAAAGAGTCCATCCGTGGAGCGAAAGTCGGGAACTATGTGGCAGCAAGAGATGTGATTAGCGCAGGGACGAGAAGTAGACAGGGGAAGAGGGGGACTACATACTGCCGGCCGAGGTGGAGATGCCCGCTCCAGCGATGACGACAATTTTGCGGTGCCGACGAATGGTTTTCGTTAGCAGATCGATCTGCGCCTGCTGTTCAGTATAGGAAAGTCCAGCGCTGCTGGAGAGATCCAGACGTTGTGTTTGGCGTTCTTTGGGGGCGGCGACCCGTCTTTTTTTTCTAGCGGGCGGCAAGTCATCTCGGTCTTGGCTGCTGTTGCGGGTGCCGCTTGACTCGTCTGCTTCCTGTGACGGAGGCGGCGACGGATAAAACCCCGGCGGTGGTGTCGGTGAAGCTGGCGGCGAGCTCAGCTCGGATACGTCGGAGAATCCATCGTCCATGGTGTGGGTGTAATATTTATCCGTGAGAATTATTAAAAATAATAAAAAAAAAAAAAAGTCGTATATATTCACACGGGTGGTGGGAGGAGGAGGAGGAGGAGGAGGAAGAGAGAAAGGAAGAAGAACGATGTGGTGGTTGAAAAGGGAAGGGCTGAGGTGTCGTGTTGGAGAAAGAGGAGAAAAAGAGGAGACAAGCAAGCAGAGCTTTTCACCACAAAGAATTGCTAATTGCGACCCTGATTCAAAATCATGGAGAAAAGCGACCACAATTGGAACATCAATTGCTTGGAGGAACCCCCCGAAATTGAACCTTTCGTGTGATTAAAAAAAAAAAAATTCTTCCTTTTTTAACCCTTTTGCGGTTTTCGCCTTTTTCTTTTCTGGATTTGCGGAACTAACTCCCTTGTCTGGTGGTGGGAGGTAAGGGGAGAGAGAGAGGAAGAAGAGGAAGAAAAGAAGACGACGACAACGACGACGACGACGACCAGAAACACGTCGACGGATGGGGGTCGAGAAGAGGGTGGGTTGAATGAACGCAACCGCAAGAGTGACTAAGAGACGATCGAAGGGGGGAAAGGGAAAATCATGAGGTCAGGGCGGGAGAAGGGAAAGAATAATTTATGGTAATGGCACAGCGTACGAAGAGTCAGTCGTCGTAGTTCTGGTTCAACTCTGCTGCTCTCGCTTGGTGCCGATGCTGTGTTTATTTTGACTGACCCACGGGATGGAACACAATCGCAGCAGTGATACTGGAGGACCAACGGGAGACCCTAACACCTCAGGTTGACAGACGTCAAGACTGGCAACGGGAGGTATGTTGAGAGGAATGTAAGTTGCGATCGTTGATCTACTAGTACTGAGTACCGGACAGAGAGCACAGGTTCTATGGGATCTGATATAAAGAAGTACCTGGTCTATGAAGGAGAACCTCCTCTTTGTTTATGTCTTGACCTCCAATGTGAACTAACAAATCTGCTAACAGATTTAGCGCGAAATCCAACATGCAAAGACCACTAGGAGTAATCGGGTTTAGCCTTCTAGAACCTTTAGCTGCAGAGCAGCAGCTGATTGGTCCGTCCCCACGTCGAACCTGCTGCAATGAACTGCAGCACCTATAAGGTTCTGGATATACCACTACTTAAATAGCACCTAGCCTTCTGGTGTATGACTTTTTCGAAAATTTTTTGTAGTCCGATCTCGTATCTTCCGTGCTTAGTTGTCCGTCCGATGCAGGGCAGCGTGTGCCCAACCCAACGACGGGATGACATGTCTCCAACTCCTTACCCCCCTTAGATCCATACAACTCTACCGATAATATCCCGGACGTGAGAACACGCAATTCCACGGAATTGGGTCCATTTCCACGTACTAAGCCGGTCGCTCCTCTTATTCGCTCCTGAAACACTTCAAGTGACCCGGGTTTATTGCTAGGCTTTTTCTTTCGTATGTCCACCTCCGTCAAGGGTCTCGCCACGGTTTCCTTTGGCAAATAGCTACCCTAATAAATGTTTGCATTGTAAAAACATAAAAATATCAGTGATTCCACTACATTGCATCATATATAGGTGAATTGGCCCCTGTTATCAAGGGAGATGCCGTGCTCCTCCGTTTCCACTCGATATCCGTTCAGGGCACATTGTAAGGGTAGACCGTTGTATTATGTACTTGCCACGTCTCGGCCCCTCTATTCTCCATCCAATCGGTAATTATCAGTAAGGGACAGCCGTACCATGCAGTTGTGTGTCAGCATATGGCTCTCATGGAAAGACTGGGCGTCGGCCGGGGAGGTAGTATAGAAGTAGGGCTCGGGATGGGTGGGGACGGCGATGATTGGTTTATCTGGTTGACCCGGATACCGTGATCACAGGACCCCACGTGATAGATTACTAAGCCAGCCGTTGACTCCACATGGAATTGAAAGTGTGATCGATGGAAGATTGAGCGAGATCAGAAATGAATGATAATCTTGGTTGAGGAAAGTGTATAGAGGCCGCAGGATGTGGATGCGCAGTTTCCCTGTCGGTTCCAATTGAGTTAGGCTTGCTGTTTCTTTAGACTTCCGTTTGGCGTGGCCTGTTCTTAGTATCGCTGCGGGCTCCGACATCCATCGCCCAGGAACAGACGCCCTTACTATGATATCGATCGGACTATCGATCTAAAAGATTCTTGGGAAGTTAAAGACTACACAATCCTCTTTTATGAATAGTATATGCGATCCCCGAAATCATGCCAATGATCATGGACGGCGGCATCAATGTTGACGATTTGTTTGGCGAATCTGCCTCTCTCGAGCTGGGCTTGCCAGCGACCGCCCCAAACTCGAACTCAACCAAAGGTCTGGCTCAACGCCTAGATGAGATGCGACTTTTGGGGTGCTGCCAGTACGTCATATGCCTCTATTCGTATAGCGACCCTGCTGGTTTGTACGGAAACTTACTAGGTGTAGGAAGATTGCCTGGTCTAAACAGGGCTGCATTGCATATATCTCTCAAGATACATTGAGGGTTAACCTTCGTCACCTGGAATGTCGACCATCTGATGGCAAGTGGGTGCTGAGCGATGACACTCCATTGCACCCAGTGGCAGAGGCCCATGGGGGCCAACCCCTCGTCCACCTATGCTGGAATGAGATTGGGTCGGAATTAGCCGTGGTTGACTCGTCTGGACGAGTTTCGATTTATAATATTGCGATTTCTCTTAACAGTCTAGCTGGACAACGTCAGGCGGCGTTTGATCCAGCCGATGATGCAGCTCAGATTGTCGGCATGATGTGGTTGAACATTCAACGTTCCGTAAGTGCCCCCTTTTTTGTTTCTCCAATGTTTGGTATGGCGCTTAACTCCCTCCAAGGTCCATGCGTTCAATGTAGCAGCAATGGTACAAGGGCGCCGAGCATATTCACCATTTCGACGTCGCCCAATAGGCCCCTTTCACCCAGCTGGGAAAGCCGCTTTGTTATGTGTCACCAGATCTGGCATCATCAGGCTCCTGTACCAGAACCCTGACAATAAATGGGCAGAGATTTCTGCAGAGCTGAAGAATGCGAGCTACTCCGATCGACTTCTTACTCATGCGGCTATAGTGGCCACTCAGAATGGAATTCTCATCGCGACTTACTCTGCATGTCAAAAGATCTACTTCTATCGAATACAGATTAACTGGACTCCTCCACAGTGGGATCCAAGCCAGTTAAAGCAGGCACCAAACCAATTCCCAGTTCCAAGCTTTCGCTTCATGCATTCTAAAGTTGAGGCTCCTTGTATCGTACCAAGTGCAAGCCGCAACGGGGAAGCCACCAACGATGGGTTACCATCCTCTACCAACCCACTGTATTGCCTCACCCGCCTGGATATAGTCCTCGCCGCACATGATAATTCGGCAGGGATGACTGCAAATCCATGGATAATAGCGGTTTTCTCGATCCCCCCTCACGCTACTCCTGATCACTCACAGCAACAGAGCCCCTGCAGTATCATTGTCCGATGGCAACTAGACTCTGCTCCACAGGTGCTTCACCCAAAGTTTGACGAGGTGACTTCAAAGAAGAATAATGCTCAAATAAAAGTAAGTGACTCAAGGTTGACCGCGGGTGCGCTTTGCTGATTGCCGACTAGCCAAAATCGGTGCTACGACGACTGGAGGACATGTATTGCGATAGATATGTCACTACGATAGAGCAGACAGAACATGGAAACGTTCTAGCGGTCACGTACGATGATAGTTCGGTCACTTTCTATGATCCAAAGACGATGGCCGTCTTGAATGGAACGGATGATACGAATACACTGACTAGCTTAGCTCATGCAGGATTCCATTACCCCCTTGACTCTGCAGGTAGCTTCCCCTCAAGATATCACGATGGCACGAAGGTTGACGCTTCTATAGCAGGTCTACACATCAGCTTCTCCCCCAGTGGCTGCAACGCTGTCACACTGGATGGAGAAGGGCAGGCGCAGCTACGGGTGATGGAACACTCGTATGGCGCGGAAAATGGACTTTACGATGAGAGTATGTCTTTTACGTTCAATGATCTATGATTATATCTGACATCATTCAAGATAAATTCTCTGCTGCTGTTGCCTCCTTGACCTTGGCATTCTGCCGCGGATGCGGAAGCGAGTTTAACACGGATGATATCTTGTTAATTTTGAAACGGCAAGCGTCACCTGGTTAGTAAAATCCCTACATTCGACTGGATTCCAGGCCTAACTATTTGGAAAGATGCACAAATATCTTTCATCAACGAAGTTTACCGCGCGCTGGGTGTCAACTGCAATTATACACAAGAAAACGACAAATTGATGAGCCATCAGTACCTGCCAAAATGCCTCAGCGTACAGGCCGCGCTGGGGTTCATTGATAAATACAAGTCGCGGAACTTTGCATCTAATGTACCTTGGACGATTCTTCAGCTTCGTCATGCTTCGGTCCTATATGCGCTGTTCCTCCAGTATCTTAAAGGAGGTGTTCAGGCAGAACCCCCCGATGCAGGTAAGATTTCGACATGCGGGAAATATACTGAATTTTCTCTGACTGTAAGATCTGATGCAGATGCTATACGCATTTTACTTGGAAATACGAAATGGGCTCTGGACTTGTTACATTATGTTTTGAACGATCTTCTTGATCTCGCAGATGATCTAGAAAGCTTCCTTTCTGATCAGGAGGCCTTTGCCCAAAAATGTCAGTATATCGTCCCTTGATTCTGAACCTCAAACCAGAGCCATGACATTGATACTGATCCTGTTTGTGGCAGTGAAAACCATAAATTCTCTACCCTTGATCATCCTCCTGTCGAGTATGTCCCGAGCCTTCCTGCGCTTCATCTGCCGCGGTTTGCGAGGGCTCCAGGCCGGCTACGCTACTGCGCCTCTGACGGGCGATGCTGGCGTCTACTATGCCGAAATCTATCAAACTTTAGACACGTCCCCTGTGCGAATCGATGTGTATGAGAAATTGCTTGCTGGGGTGGACTCGACCGTGCGACATGTCTATCATGGAGCGGGTTTTGGAGACAATGAACGGCCGGGACCTGAAAAGGAGCTCTTAGTTAACGGCCGTATCCCCCCCGTTCTTGTTACAGCAGTCTCTACTATTCTCCGACAGACGGTCCCCGCGCTCAAGCCTGAGATCGACCGCATGGCTATCTATATGGGTGACTACAGTTGGCTCGGCCTTGGATCCGACCGACGTGCAGAGTTGTACCGGAGGACCCGGGATGTGGATATCATCAAAAAGATTCCCTTCAGAAGCACGGCGTCTGCGGGCTCGGACGAGGCTCAAAGCGGAAAGCACAGTCCCAGCCAGGTGCGCAGGCGATGCGTCCGTTGTTGCGAGATTATGTGCGGTGCGTACCCGCCACGCCCACAGTTATCGTCACGCATGATGTACAAGTTGGGCTATGTACGGTATTGTATTTGTGGAGGAGGATGGACTTTGGAGTCGGACCTCCACCGCTAGACAAATCATCCGTGGTGCTCGGTTGTTCTAGTTTAGTAGGCTAGAAAAGATAATTGTAAAAAAATTTCTGAAATATGATGTGTAGGATCTCGATTATCAGTGCCGCCTTGGGGTTATAAGGACCAGTTTAATAGAGATCTGAGGACTACGTGGTTGTGTATGAATACGATGATAGCGCAGACTCCCGGACCAAAAACATTCATCTGGCCGGATTTGCTCCTCGCAACACCATCATAGAATTCCTATTAAGCATAAATGGTACTAGATGGAAACGAGTATCGACCAGGAAAGACCCCTTCTCGAGCCATCGCCCCTAAGGAATTGGATCGTCGGATTCTTAAGGAACTCGTCACATCACGGTCGGAAGTCGTGCATTATCATTGTCATGTCAAGTAAAGCCTTCATTTAATATCGACTTGCATCTTTTTTCTAAGATACATAATCAATTTCTTTTAAAAGACGTTTTTGGTGCAACCGACCCACACAAGGTGGTCCAACCCGTCATCTTTATAACGACGTTCCCGGAACTCCATCTAAATCCAGACACGACCCGACTTCATTTAAGCCTGTTCGAACAACCGATCAGCACTGGTTCACTTTTTCCGAAGAAAATGGGTTTCCCCGCGCGAGCGTAATCTCGTCGGGAAGATGACTGCCTCATACCTTAACAGCGAACTTGCGCTGGGGGAAGTGGATCTCGCGCTTCTTCTGTCTCTCGGTCTTGAGGGAGGCCTCGTGCTTGGTAAGGCGGCGACGGAGAGCACGGGTAAGCTTGGGGCGGAGGTCGAGAGGGAGGTACTTCTTGTTCTTGTAGAACAAGCGGAGCTGAGCGCGCTGGTTGGCGTTGATGATGGTGTGGACACGAGCAATCGACTTGCGGACGTCGTGGCTGTAACAGATTCACAATCAGCATTTTCTTGGTCTGTTTCCGTTTTCCCCTTGTGGTTTGTGCAATTTGAAAAAAAAGAAAATTTGCGCTGTCGTTCCAGTTCCTCCTCTTTTCAAATCAAATGTAGAATTTTCCCCTCCTTTCCCTCCTCTCCCATCTAGCGCACATATTCTTTTGGGGTATTGGCGTAACCAGGTGCAAATAGGGATTTTCGAAAAAGGAAAAGTAATTTCAAACGCACATTCTCTGGGTCTTCGACGAGGCACCGCCAGCGATCTTCTGGACGCGGAGCTGGCTGAGCTCCTGCTTCAGCTCCTCGAGCTGCTTGGTGAGATCATCCTTGTTCTTTCCCCAGAGCTGACCAGCCTTGACCTTGGAAGACTATCGACGAAACCATTAGCAACCCATTAATTCGAACGCGAAAAATTCACCAGCATCGTTATCATCCTGGCGCAGCGCAACATACCATGGTGGGCGGTATTGTCGTGTCGTGCGGTTGTCGACGAGAGGATTGAAGATGGACCGGGTCAATTTGGGATGTTCGTTGTGGGACTAGGGTTATTTTTTTCTTGCGTGTGGTGCGCCGCCGTAAGCGGGCACGTGATAGAACTGTGGCTGGTGCCCGGTGATGACGCCGCCTCCGCCTCCGCCTTACCGGACTTGGTGATGGGAGCCGCGGATGCTTTTTGGGTGATGCTTTTGCCTTTCGTTTCCCGCTGGTCGGTCACTTTAAATACTCAACTGTGCTTTTGAATCGGGGGGTTTTCTTGGGACGGTGAAGATCTTCTTAGCTTAATTTGGGAATTTATATTCCTTGACGTCTCTGTTCATTGAACCATTTGAGTCCTAATACTCTTTATCTTCACCTTAACCTCATATACTTCTATACCCACTACTCCATGGCTGCCTCAACAGGTACCGGGTGGGCTCAGCTCCGGCAGCAAGCCCGCTCTCTGGAAACTCAGGTACGGACTGATTCAACCCAGAGGAGTCCTGGAAACCGCACTAGCGAACATAGGGCAACTTGTTAACTCATATCTCTTATAGACTGAAAGCGTGTTCCACTCCTACTCGCAGTATGCGTCGATGACAACCCTCCCCCGGGACCCATCTGAAGAAGAACTCCGACTGGAATCACAATTAAAGGGATTGCTCGAAAAGGTACACTCAAATACACCATCCTTTTCCCGACCGAACGTCTCACTGACTCCCAATACCAGCGTCAAGCCCTCGTCTCCCAACTCGCCCGTCTCCTCGACTCCGAAGCCACCCTGACCTCCTCCGCCCTGAAACAGAACAACCTCGCCCGCCATCGTGAAATTCTCCAAGACCACCGCCGCGAACTCCAACGTCTCACCGCCGCCATCGCAGAATCCCGCGACCGCGCAAATTTACTCACTAATGTCCGCTCCGATATCGATGCCTATCGGGCGTCGAATCCCGCCGCCGCCGAAGCCGAGTACATGCTCGAGGAGCGGGGTCGGATCGATCAAAGCCACAATGTGATAGACGGCGTCTTGAGCCAAGCATACGCCATCAACGAGAACTTCGGGCTTCAGCGCGAGACGCTGGCCAGCATTAATCGGCGTATTGTTGGAGCCGCTAGTCAGGTGCCGGGGATGAATGCGTTGATCGGGAAGATTGGATCGAAGCGGAGGCGAGATGCGCTTATCTTGGGGGCCTTTATCGGGTTCTGCTTTTTGATGCTGCTTTGGTTCCGATAAGTGCATGTTGGTTCCGCTTTAGCTTGGTGTCAAGATCTCTACTTTAGCGGTGTTATTTTCTTGTTTCTCTGTCATTTATTATACTGCTGTCTATAGTGTGAGGGCGTTAAGGGGATTGGGGAATTTCCTACTTCTGCTAGACATGAGATGTTAATTCGCGGGTTCCTTGTATGATCTGCTTGATATGCAGAGGTAACCCAAATCATGGTTACTGATAATCTATATCGGTTGATTAAGGTGCTGATCTCCGTCATACACTGGGCTGTGGCTGAGCATGGTGAAAGTGAATGGGGTAATCCGTAATATGATACATATGTATATACATGATGACTATTTATGCCCCTCAAGATCTCATGACAACCCGGGGCTTTTGAGCTGCTGACTCGTTTTGACTCTTCCTTCCCCACTCTGCAGCAGGTAACTCAGACTCCCTACTGATCTTGTTCTCTTGAATCAGTTTGCGGATTCCGTTGTTAAGTGCCTCGAGCTCATGTTCTTCTGCAGGCCCGCTTCCTGCCCACCGAATGCGACAGTTTTCATCCAAGAGATAAACATATCCAACCTTGCTGTTTATCATTCCGATAGACTCCTTAACGCCTTCTGTGACACCTTTGCGAACCAGGAAGTAGCGTCTATGTTGCTGTTCAGGCAACTTGTTCCGCATGCGCCACATGAATCTGCGAACCAGCCATGCCTTGAGGGCATTCTCTTCTAAGTTGATATCCACCTTCTGAACCATATCGCCACCGCTCTTGATCGCCTCATAGAGGCCTGGATTCTGTTCGGGGCCCGTGAAAGTCGCAACCTGCGTCTCTGCCCAAACACTAGAGAAAAGGTTCACGACGGAAATTCTGCCCCGAAGCTGCGTGGTGGTATCCTGCGGTTCCTTGGGCGATGCAAGTGTGGTACCGTGCATGTTGGGGAAGTAGAGCGCCTTGTCTCGTTTGAATAACCGGGGACCGGAGTAGAAAGTCTTTCCTTCGTGATGACGGAGGTTCGACCATTCTCGGAAATAGGGCTTTGCGACTTGTCTTGTTCTGTTATTGCATACATATCGAATCAGCAAATGGTTTTAGAACTACGTGGGAAGACTGGAGATGGTCGTACAATTCTTTGCGACGCTCCAGATGTCTATCATAGTTGACAAAGTCGTCTCGTCTTTGCCGGAGAGTTCGCGAATCAATACCGGTGTTCTGTCCTTCTTGCGGAGGAATCACCGAACCAATTGGACGGTCGAGGGTCGGAGGAACGAAGTCATCGTCGCCGGGTTCGGGGGCCGCGGAAGGAACTGATGACGGGGATGGGTTCTGTTTAAATTGGACCTTATTATTCGCCGTCGGATTGGGTACAGCCGTCTTTGCTGCTTTATCATTGTTGCTGCTGCTTGCGTAGTAGCGCAGCGCCGGCTTTACTCGAATAGTTGAAGTGGCAGCGGCATTGCGGAATTGGCAGCTGAGACAGCGACCACCCTGGAGCAGAGTGGCCTCTGTGAAAGATGACAGAAGCATAGATCGCTTCCACATTTTGATCGACGAACAATGTCAATTTCAACAGCGGTGGTTGTAGACTCGGTTTATCTGCTTCGAAAGATCCACATGCTTACCTTCCGGGAAGTTAAATTGAAAGCCCACAATCCCGTGACTAGGCGGCATTTTCGTGTCTCTCCCCACGCGTGGTTGCCTTCCGGCGTGTTTCTTGCGTAGGGTTCCATGTCACTTGCTACTTGCTGCGATTTTGATTGAAGTATTGGTAATATACGTATATAAACCGTCACCTGCTCGGCAGGTTCGGGATTTATCCATGGCTCTACGGACTCCGGAGGACATGACATCGACCTTATATGAGCCCAGAGATGGTGCAGAGCACATCGGACAAAAAGGCCTTTTTCCAAGGACTTGAGAGGCTAGATGCCTTGTTGGATGACTCAGGTGATGATTCCGATGAGGGGTTTTCTCAGATTATAGCACTGGCGAATGACTATGTTGAGCCTGTTCACCAAGTCGAGCCTGCTCCTTCCGATTCACCGGTGCAGAAAACAGGTGCATTGGGAGCAACTTCCGCTTTACAATCACCTTCACTTGATGTAACGGACCATGGAAAGTGCGGGGACACATCTATAGTTGTCATTGAAGAGATACATGCTCCTTCTGTGAAAGGATCAAGCATCATGGGAGCTCCGAAGAAGAAAGTCGACGGCAAGAGAAATCGAACATGTACTACGAAAATAGTTGCGGAACAGCATCAAATCTTCAAGGGCCTCGTATTCTGTTAGGGATCAGTTTCATTTCGTTTAGTCCTTACCATCTAGTCTTCATTGTGTGCTGACTGGCCCTTCAGTTTTCTTCCCGAATAGCGACGTTTCTCCTTTGCGGCGGCTGCGCATCCAGCGAGCGCAGGAGTATGGTGCTCTCTGGGCTCGGACTTGGGGTGATAGTGTCACACATGTAATCGTCGACAAAGGTTTAACTTTCCAGGAGGTTCTGAGGCATCTTTGTTTGGAGACGTTTCCGGTTAGTCTAGGGCATGGTGTTTTTACTTGTCCCATCTGCTGACTTTGATGAAGTCGAACATTGCCCTCCTCGATGAGAGTTATCCTTCGGAATGCATTAAGTTTAGAACGGTCTTAAGTACATCTCATGTGCGATTCCAAATAACTGGGATGCCGGTCGTCTCAGAAGCAAGGGAGGCGTCCCAGCGAAATGAACCCTCGGATGAGTCTTTGCTGTTGAAGCCAGCTGGCAGACAACAGCGACAGCTTGAAACTCAGACACAGCCATCTGAGAGCGAGGACGACTCGGAATACCGACCCGATGTACAAAAAGTCGACGGCTATTCAGACGAGGCACATAACGAGGTGGTTTATGAGCCACTTCGTGGACGCGATGCCCTGGATGACATGATTGATGAAGCAAAAGCTGTGAAGGACTTGGTACGACTAAATTATTCCATCTCTAAAAAAAAGGGATGCTGAACATTAATGCAGCCTTTGGAGCCACTGGATTCCTTTGATGATGAACATCCAACTGAAGAGGCCGACTTGGGAATTTCCGAAGAATCGGACTGCCAGCCAACCAAACGAAAGAGAAAAAGAACATCAAGACGGGATAGCGAAAGGAGAGACGACTGGCAGCAAAGGTTTGCATGCATGCAAAAGCATGATCCCAAGTCGGATTCTGAGAATCCCAACAGTCGGACCATTGATGTTCTTCAACAGATGCTAGACTATTATGCAAGGACTAATGACCACTGGCGAATGCTTGCCTATCGCAAAGCCATCTCCGCTCTTCGGAGGCAGCCAACAAAGATTCTCACGAGATCACAGGCAATCGCTATCCCAGGAGTAGGACCGCGCTTGGCGGATAAGATCGAGGAAATCGTGTGCACAAACCGGCTCCGTCGCTTAGAAAATACCAGTTTTACGCGCGAGGATATCATACTTCAGGAGTTCTTGAGTGTTTACGGCGCTGGGATTTCGCAGGCCTCGAAGTGGCTTGCTCAAGGCTACAGATCACTAGAGGATCTAAGGACTAAAGCCTCCCTGACCCCTCAGCAACAAATCGGTGTCGATCACTACCACGATTTCTCTCAACGGATCCCGCGAAAGGAAGTAGAGACACATGGCGAGATCGTTAAAATGGCCGTGCAAAAGGCTGACCCTGGAATGCAGGTCATCATCGCTGGGTCTTACCGACGTGGCGCTGCTGACTGCGGAGACATCGATCTGCTAATCACCAAACCGGATGCGACGATTGAGCAGATTCGTGCCCTAATGATCGATGTGGTAGTCCCGAAACTCTTCAAACGGGGCTTCCTGCAAGCCAGTTTGGCGATTACGTCGCGAGGGGATGGGTCTAAATGGCATGGCGCATCTCTAGCTCCGGGCAGCCAGATCTGGCGACGGATCGATCTTCTTTTCGTACCGGGCTCGGAGATTGGCGCTGCACTGATTTACTTTACTGGGAATGACATTTTCAATCGAAGCATGAGGCTATTGGCTAGCAAGAAAGGCATGCGATTGAATCAGCGCGGACTATATACGGATGTACTGCGAGGTCCGCAGCGGGTGAAGCTGAATACCGGTCGGCTGCTGGAGGGTCGCCATGAGCGACGTATTTTTGAGATTCTGGGAGTTCCATGGCGTCCTCCCGAACATCGTGTATGCTGACGTGCCCGGACCTTTTTGGGTTTTGTTCGCGTTTTTCCGGAAACTGGCAATGCTTTCTGGGAGTACGCTTAATGACAGATAACATTTGATGCAAAACTAGTACTTATTTTATTAAATAAATAGCTTTAGTTATACACGTTCGCTGTTCCGCTTCCAGACCGACTTCTCATTATGCATGAATTCGCTGTAGTGTCACTGCAGGAATGTTACAAGGTTCTTTATGAAGTATATATGGAGGACTAAGTATGACGCTGGCTCAAGTGGTCTGGATCATCATGATGATGGTGTCGCTGTAAGGGCTGCAGCCAGAAGCGGTAAAAGAGAATAATTTGTATTTATTGTATGGGAGTAACCTTTCCGTAAACTTTCAGAGGTATCTTTTGTGTGGCCCAGGGTAGGACAGGAACTTGGCGACCTTTTGAACATGCCAGAGGGAGGCTCAATAAACGAGGGTTAAGACCTTCACCACTTGGTAAGGTGGCGAAAAAGACTGTGTGTTGAATTGAAAGTCACGCGTGAATCCAGTTCATGATCCCGTGAGGTCACACCCCAAAACGTATTCATAAATCCTAAAAGCAAAAAATAAAAAATAAAAAATAAAAAAAGACATCATTTCCACCCCTGTCACCGATCTCATCACCGCCTTTCATGCGGTGAAGCGCATGCAATAGAACACTGAGGGCGGCATCTGTCAGACCGCCTGTGGAAAAGTGCAAAAGTCATCGTTTTGCCGTTGCTTCCAACAATTATTCCTCCTCTATCCCACTCTTCTTGTCACTCCACCTTATCGCACTTCCCATCACAGCTGTCATTCTGCCGTTATCAATCGCCTGGTGGCTTGTTAATCGCCTGCAATTCGGCCCACCGTCATTGTCACATCCGCGACACACACGCGGGTGGTTGTTGTTTTTCGTGGTGCTTTTGTGGCCCACTCTTATTTTGCCGTCCCGACCAAACCACCCCTCGTCCTTCTTTGTGCGCGCGATTCAATCCACCATTTGTATTCTGCTGTCGCTTTTAATCCCACTGTAAGGTTGAGCGTGACCTTATCATCCCCATTGGGACCTCTGGCCCTGGGAATACTCGACGCCTCTGGCTCCCGACCCTTCCTGCCGAGTCCTTGTGTTGCCCGTCTCACTCACCCGTCATGGGTCGCAAACCGAACCAGCTGATCCTCGAGTTCTTCATTCGAGGCCAGAAACTCGAGGATGCCAGTAACCGTTATCAGCACACATGCAAGGCCTGTGGAGAGAAATTTCCGAAAGGTCGCATCGATAGTTTAACCAACCATCTCGTCAAGAAGTGTCAAGCCATCCCGCTGCGAGACCGTCAACGCGTCCTGTTGCGCCTCCACGAACTTCCCGATCTCGCCGATGGTGACCAGAACAAAGATCCGAGTGTCGCGGGCCAGAACAAAGGAAAAGGCTCGGATCTACCTTTCACCACTCGTCAGAACTTTGATGGTCTGAATGTCCTAGCCGAGGCTTCAAGGCAAGTGGGCGCGTCCGACCAGACTAAACGGGGCGGCCCTGCGTATACTCAATCAGTTACTGTCGGTGGTAAGACGGTTGTTGTCGACCCTGCGCTTGAAGCCGAGGGCTTTCAGGGCCATCCGCAGACAGAGCACGTTGAGGAAGACGTGAAGCCACCTGGTAAGCTGATTTTGCCCCTTGTACTCATTCTCTTTGTTTGTTGCCGGCTTCATCGGTTTCATTGGTGTCGCACTAACCGCAATCGTTTTGTAGGAACTCCCCAAGGCTCTAACGCAACACTTCCATCCCTCCCCAATACTTCGCAAGATCAACCTCCGTCCGCGTCTCCTCCGCTGGCGGAAGCTTCGCTGACACCTGACCCTACCTCTAATGCTCGCCAGTCGCAACTCTCCATGATCGCCGCTTCTGCTAGCGAGATGGTGCCACAGGGAATGCCGTTGGACCATGACATCGTCGATGGCTTGCCGAAAGTGGGCTCATGGAACCAACAGCTCTCCACTCAGGAACAGCTCCTATTCGATAGTCTCCATGAACATGATCCTACACTTACCGCTGCGACGCAGCGGGCTGCTGCTTTCCCACGTCCTATCGCGATGAACCCCAACTCACAGGCGAAGGGGTTCGTAAATGAATTTGGTAACTCGACCAAACCGACGAAGCCGAAGGTCCGCGGGCGTTTTTCTGCGGCCAGACGTAGGGAGGTACAAGAGGTCAGAAAGCGCGGCGCGTGTATTCGTTGTCGCATGCTCAAGAAACCTGTACAGTTACCCCTAACCTTTCTGATTTTTTTGGGGGGAGCGCGCAACTAATCATTCTCCAGTGTTCCGGTGATAGTCCTTGCACTACCTGTGCCAGTGTAGAAAGCGCGCGGTTGTGGAAGCATCCATGTATTCGGACGCGCATCGCGGAAGAGTTTGAACTGTACAATGCAAGTAAGTTTTTTTTTTTTTTTTTTGTTCCCTCTCTCTGCTTTTAGTTTGTGTTGGGTGACTGACCGCCTAGACTTGCACGCCACCCTGGCATATCACGACGTAAGCGGTATCCGAAACCAGGTCAAGTTTGAGCATTATGCCGGCCGTATTGAGGTTACCCACTTTGAAGAGAGCATGGTGTATGTCACCTTTAGTGCGCTCCAGGGTCACAAACCATCTACCTCGACGCTTGATCCCCAACTCCAAGGACTTGGAGACGACTCGCAATTCCAGGGACCACTTCACGAACTTTACTTGCTTGACAGCGATGCAGACGACTTACCTGGAAAGCTTGAGATGTACATCAAAAAGACCGCACCATTCTTCTACGAGAGAGAAGCTTCTGAAGTCATGAGGCCCACTCTGCTGCTTGCCTCAGAATTGAGTCAGCAGAAGAAGGTATATACCTTTTCCCACACTATCACTTGAGGAATCACAAGCTAAATAGTTACAGGATGTTCTGCTGGAGCGGGTGCTAGAGCTCTGGGTTGCTACTCACATTCTGGTCGACTCAGATTTGCGTTGGAGAACATTCTGCAACCCTACCCTTCCCCCTACTTCGATGCAGGCTCTCGCGCAGCCATCGGATGATGGACGCATGCCAATCGACGAAGTCACCAACGCTGAGTCTTACGCACTCCTGTGCAGCCAGCTGCGCGCAGCAACCGAGAAGCGTGCCTCGCAACTGAGCAAGTCGGTGATGAACGACCTCGAACGACGCCTGCTTCAGCGTCAGCAGAGTGGCTGGTTTGAGACTTTCTTGGTTGCCCTCATCCTTCTGAACTGTGTGGAGAGAACCTGCTGGCTGTTCCGCTCTTGGGAAGACGAGGCGTTTGCACAGCGCGTAAGTCTCTTTTGAGCTGTAATTCTTGGATTAATTGTTTTCTAACGCACCATAGTGGCCTTTGGACAAACGTCCTCCTTACTACGCAAGCCAGGGCGATCGCTTCTCTGATATTCTGCATATGCTGCTGAAGATGCGCAGCCTGCCGCCCAAAGCAACTCCACGCGCCGACAATGGTATCTTGAAGGCGGTAGACGGTAGCGACATAAACGCAGCTCGCTGGTTTGATATGATTAAAGTTTCCCGTGAGTTTACCATACACCCTGTGTCTCAGCCACAGAACTTTCGCTTACAGGCGGCAAACAGCTCTATACCTTGAACAACGACAGGCTGCTGTCTTCGATCCCAACGACTCTCGCTCCCTCGACCTTCGCTACGGAGCAAAACTGTTGCCACCTACGAACGTTTACACATGATTTGCGCTGGTCCACAAACTGTGACTAATGAAACAAAACGAACCAATGACTTTGAAAAGATTGATTGAAGCCGGCTTTTCGTGATAGGTATTGTACTTGACTGGGTCTGAAGGAGGGTTTTGCAATGAAATTAGCTTGCTGAAAAAAAGGGCATTTATGGGGTTTTCAGTTTCTTTTCCCCTTTTCTTTTCTTTTCTTTTCTTCTCTTCCTCTTTAACCTTCTATTTGAAACCGAGCACCCAAGTGTAATCTACAGATTCCGTGCCTTGCCCCCATATCGCTGCATGAGTCCCCATGGTTTCTAGTCCTAGCTATAAATGGAAAATAATAATCGTCCCTCCCCTACCAAGCAGGGCGGAATCTTGAATGAGAAATAAGGGTTTTGGGAATTAGAATGAAGAACAAATATAGTAACAAGCGTATATTGAGCAGAGGCTGGCTAGTATCTTTGCCATTCTCTGATACTGTGCAGCCAATAATAGTAAATCTAAGCATAGAAGGTTCAAAATATAACTTCGTTAACAAAGTATGTATTAGTAGGTATTGTGTACATTATATTTAACCCCCACGTTATATTAGATATATGATAATAACAACCCCCTTCACTATCTATCAAAGCTACAGGCACGATTGTAACTATATATTAATCGACCCTATATGTAGTTTTGTGTTATATAGATAAATTATCCCAGGGAGCGGTATACAGACTAACAAGACAGTGGGGGTTCCTCAGCAGCCGGAGCCAGATGAACAACTAACATTGATTACCTTCTTCCGTCCCCTACCTTAGATGAATTTGCTTTAACTAATCAGTCATTCTACTGGTGATGTGACGAAGTTTTTGGACATGTTTGAAAGTTGTATTCCAGCTTCTATTGACAATCAGTGGTTTGGCATGGTTGAAGGTAGAAGAGCTCTCTTACCTTCCAGATGGGGTTGTTGAAGTATATATTGAAACGATACTCCTAATAGAAAGGTATGGAAACTCAAAACCTAGCCCACTGTGGGACGGACCTGAACCTCTGAGCGCCCTTCAGCCTCATCATCATAAGATGTGCTAAGGGAGTTTTGTGCGATCCTGCGGTGCCTAACTCAGTAGTCGAGTCTGTGACAAGGAAGCTAATAGCGTGTTAAGACCCGTAGATTGTATCTTGGTTTGGGATATATACTGGAGCTATTTCTGAGTTTAATGTAATAGTGTTATGATTGATATAACCCTGTTAAAATTTCTAGTGCTAAGCGAATTAAATGAATCTTCTCTAACGTTCAGAAAGTCAGTGTAGGTCTCGGAAATGTAATCTGATAGTAGGATAGAAATGAACGGTCTTCATGCCTTGGTTTGCAAGGCGCCAGGAAGGTTAAACTATAGCATATAATCAAGAAGTGGAGTAGGATACCAAAACATCGGAAGAAGAGAACCCAAAACACGCCCAACCATAACAAAGATAAAAGACAGCGAACACCCTCTGGCCTTTTCTAGTGACTATTATTATCTCCCGTTAACTGCGGAGTAGCAACATCGCTCTGCAAATGTCACTCAGGTGTGTCCCCTTCAGTGCCTGTTGCATATTCATTCCGGGAATGGGGTGAACCGTTATCCTTAGGTGATTGCACAGGGGTGTGGAGCAGGACGTCCCGTAGGGTCACGGTCATTTCATTATTCTCAGATTTGATTATGTCCTGATTATCTTGAGGCGCAGAAAATGACTCCGGGTTAATGAAACTGCTGAAGCCAGGTACTTCTGTACCCGAGTTACCTGGCGAAAATGTCTTGACATTCTCCGTTTCGTACCGGGGCGCAGATGGTCCAACTGAGGGGTTTGATCTCTTGGTGGTATGGTAATTGGTGTTTTCTTTGCCAGGAAGGGCCAGCATGGAAGCCGGTTGATCGGAGAAACTGGAGTCGAACGCTTGTCCATCGAATATATTGGTGTTCAGGAGCAGGATATGTACGTTATATCGTTCGCAGGCCTCCGTTAGGTCTTTGAGGTACTCGTTCGATGGGTCCCCTGAACATATAGAAACTAGGCCATGGGGGTTGTGGACGCAGAGAGTTCGGATGGGATTGGCGCAAATGTGAGGGCCGTCCGTTGCTACGACTATGGCGTGGTAGCCCTTGTGTTTTGTGTCGTTGTAGCTTTTGACGTATGCACTGTGGTTCCCTTTGTTAGTATATTACCATGGTATGTAGAGCATAGATAGTGTTATAGGGAAGACGACTTACTAGCTTTTAGTGGCATACGAGATTATATTAGCAATTGTTTGCATGAGTACGGAGTCTTCGAAGAAAACGACTTCGTCAGAAATACGGGAGGATGAGGACGGGGACGGTCTATTCTCGCCGGTGAGAACCATCTTAAGGATATGGGATGCCTCAGATAATTGAAGAGGAAATCCTATGGGTTCATACCCACTGCTCGTCTTGGCGAAGTCGAGGAGGAAGAATTTCCCTGCACATGGGCACTATAACTGGTCAGTTGATATTGTTGATTGAACAGGGAAGATAGATCGACACACAGCCATTCCTGACATAAATTATTGAATTAGTTTGAATCAGGTCTCTTCCAGACCACAATATTCAAAGTATGAGACATGTGATGAACTGGTTGTTATGAGAAACAGAGGAATAGCTGCATTTTATATTAAATGATGACAGCAACACCAGTGAATAACACCTTGTAGACATCCCCACGACATTGAAAAGCTTAGGCCTCTATGATTCACCATGGTGGATACAGCCAATAGAAACAGTGGGAAACAACACCAGTGAATAGAAGCAGCAAGCAGGATATCGGAGAGTATCTAAAAATACCAGTCTTGAAAATGACTGACGCGTCCCTCCAATAGCAGAAGAGGAGGGGAAAGAAGAAAGAAATGACAGTAAATCCGATTCCCTCCTAGCATTTACCAAATGGACTGTACAAAGAAGAGGAACAACCCAATAAGAACAAAGTCAACACATCATCATCAGTCATAATACAACATGAAGAGCATAGTAAGAACAATGGCACAGTCTCTTCATAGAGCCACTATCGAGTCCGGGGACTGTAAATTCCCTTGCACCTGCTCTAACAGTACTGCGTAGTATTTACCCTCTGCAGAGGTATCATGGTAAGGTCCCGCGCCCATAATAGCCCTACGTCCATTAGCATTACTGTAGTTTTGTGCCTTTCGAGTGTATGGCAAAAAGACGACGTATGATACGTACCATCCTTTATACTTCGGCTGGTTGAAGATATCTGTGAAAGCTTTTAAAATGCGCAATGGCAACTCTAGAATCGAGGGCAGTTCCGGTCCAGGCCCGGAGATGGGAAGACCCAGCTTGTTGACAGGGACATAAACAATCTCGGCGGTGTTTTGGGGATTGCGAGCTTCTTGAAAGATGAGAAGACGGCGGGATGGTTGTGGGGCCATTTTTTTTTTTTTTCTTCTTTTTCTTTTTCTTTTTCTTTTCCCTCTATTTTTGCTAGTTTGCCTTGCGATTGATGTCTTCGTAGTCCCAGTGCTAATGGTTGTTTCCCTGCTGCAAGTACAGGGTGTGTATAGGTGTATAGGTTATGCGCGCTCCAATAACAGTACGGGATTAAATCGCGCGCCGCAAACGATCGTTTGTTGTTGATCAAACAAACTCGGCATTCATTGATATTATCGATAAATATGCTGCAGCCACGATCCCGCTTATCGCTTTTGTTGATCTGTGCGCAATTGAGTGCGGGATGGAGATAAAGCCCCTGAAGGCGGGGCAACAAATGGAAGAATTATCCAGCTTTTGAAACAATCTTGAGAAAATCCAAGCAATACACAAAGTGGATCGATGAGTCAATGATGAAATGGATGCGCTCTGACGCTACAACATAGACAGAAGGGGTAAATAAATTCAATATGAGTAAATCGCGTTCCACCGCGTCGGCACGTGTTCGGGTGGGGGGAAACGCCGGTTTTCATTCGACCATCAAAAAGGGTAATTCAATGACTACTGCTAAGGTATAGGAGGTAGTAGAGGTTGAACTACTAAAGCAGGATACATTCCAAATCACAAAATATGGCTTCTCAGCAAGCTTCTCCCAAGTCAAACATGGCATATGTATACACACATTACAAGTACAGCATCGAACAAGAAGACAACGTTCGAGGATATCAATAGCTGGGTATCAAGTATCAAAAGAAATCATGGAGATCAACTGTCGCGTGCGAAAGAAACGCTAGAAAGCACCGTCAACTCTGGGCCTTCGGGACCAGCTATCTTCGATGATGCAACACATCAAATGCCTAAAACATGCAAATAAAGCAATTCATCCCCTAGAATTTCCTACGTATCGAGCTCCCCATCAAGCACCCGCCGAGCAGCATCCAATCGCCGTCTCAATTGACGCACGCGCTTGGGGTCTGGATCGGAGGAGGTCGTAGTTGTCTGAAGATCCATGCAAACATCGCCCAAACTCTTGAACAACTGTTCCAAGAGGCGTGTGTCGTCCTCATTGATTCCCATGTTGCCATTGGTCACGGACTTGGGATGGGGACTAGACGCCGCTCGCACAGTGGATACAAGGGAGGACACCAGAGATGTCGGAGTTGCAGACCCTGTCATAGATTGGCGGGGAGTCGAAAGATATTCCTCCTCACTGCTCCTGCTGTTTGGCTGTCTTCGGACCGCGCGAGGCGTTCCCATCTCGGATTCAGAGTCAGTTGAGTGCCGCTTCTCAGCAGCAGGTTCAGAAGTATAACGCTGATTACTACGTAACTCTAATGTCCTGTTAGTTTCCAGTGTACTTGACTTTTCAGCGGTTAGTGGACTCACCATCATTAAATCTCCTGTCCCAATAGAGGACACTTTCAAGGTCGTCGTGGTCTCCTTCAGTCGCAGTCGCATACGATGCTACGGTGGACAGGGATGCCCCGCTGTTCGTGCGAGAGTGACGGACGTGAGGACGATCATGGATAGGCCGCGTTGTTTCGACAGACGAAGTTGAGACATTACTTGTTCGCCTTAACCTGGCTGAATAGTTGCCCAGGGCGCTGTGAAGGATGAAGTTCTCGTAGTCAAATGCATCTTCACGTTCTTCATGGGGTCGAGAGTCAGAATTTGGGACCGCTGGAAATGCGTCCAGATCTTCAAAGTCCTCCAAAGGCTCGCGTAATATTTCACTCAGGGCCTCACGATCAATGTCAGATGAGTCGTCGGAGTTGTATTCGCCTTCCTCTGCGTCTTCGTACAAGCTCTCAATGACCGACCGCCCATCTTCGTCCACGGGTTCAAGGACCTTTGGCTGTGGTGGTTTTGCATTAGCATTAGATGTCTCACTTCCGTGATGGCTAGTGACAGCCTCATTGCCGTCTCGCGCGTGTTCGTACTCTCCACTGCTTCGGGGTTCTGGGGTGTAGTTCGGACTCCGTCCCGCACCGGGTCGCAGGTGACTATCTCTTAGCTCCATTGTATTGGTGAAGTACTGATCTGCCGCTGTGAAAGGACTAGGAGTTCGCAGACTCTGTAAGCTACGTCGACGTAGGTTGTCCTCCTGTGCCTTCACTTTCAGACTGGAGATCTTGATGTGCAGACCCTTCATCTGATCTTGGAGATCTCTCACTTGTAGCTGCGACTGTGACCGAGACGGAGGATCAGACACAGGGTAGACCGAATAAATATCTTCTGCGCTCAAGGTATGATCCTCTGTGTCTTCCGCTGAGATTCCTAGTCCATTAGGTGAACCGGAATTGTCTTCTTGCAAGTTCGAGGGAGAAGCACGAGCGGAGTGCGGCTTTGACACGGACGCACGGTGCGTAAGATATGCTCTGTTTGGATCATAACGGAATGTTCGCGCATCATTGTTGAAGTTCGAGACACTGCTCGATCCTAGTGCACTGAGGGACCTGGACAGGTCTGGTTCGACAGTTGGGAGACTCGATTGGTCTGCTGACGGCAAACGGGTTTCGCTATACACTCGGGAATGACGATTGTTACTCGTGTCCTGGGATGAGGTATATGTTGCACGAGGACGAGTCGATGCTCTGCGGTCCGCACGGGAGATCGATTGGTACAAGCCGCCAACTGGTTGACCCAGCCCCAACGCTTGGGTGCCAGGGGACGGTGTTGGTGACACGGAAAGTGATGGCGATGTCCGCATCGAAGACCGAGCCCGAGTCAAGTTACCTTCCATGAGCTACAAGGATCCACATCAGTTCAAGTTCCATGAAGTAGCAACCCACTCCGTGCTTCAGCTAAACATACCGTGAGCCGTTTCTTTGCATTCTCCAGAATCCTTTCCGCTTCACTGCTCAGAATCACCGACGATAGTTCGTCACCAGGACCTCCTTCCTCCGTATTCGCCACCACTCTGCCAATGGCATTTTCCTTCATGATGCGAACCGCTTCAAGTAACTGGTCCTGTTCTACGGCACGACCCTCTTGCGAGGCCCTCTGGCCATTCTGGCGATTTTTGGCCCCCTCCAATGAGGAAGTCTCACTAGCGCCACTAATTGTAGAACTAGATGAGCTACTGCGCCCTCCTGTCTCCTTGGCCTCCGTGTCCTCTGCCGTGCGCTGCGAGGCCGGTGAGCCTGCCAATCGGCGGTTATGCGTGACCTCCAAGTGAGGCCCAAATCCGCTTACCGACGATGTTGACGACATATCTTCCTCCCCGATATCCGACAGGCGACGACTCGCATCAAGAGCGTCGTGTTGCCATGTGTGACGCGGGAAAGGCTTTTTCTGGGACCGGTGAGAAGCCATAGGACCGCCATTTCCATTGTAATCCTGGGGGAAAGATCGGTTGTTGTAGAATGATTGGAGATGGGACAGGGAAGGGAGGTTGAATGGCGGAGAAGGAGTGGAGGATTCGCGCTCGCCTTCGTACGGTAGGATCATATCCGGGTTCGATAAAGTCGGCGACGGTGGAATCGCCGGTGGAGGCGGCCTGTGATGCCGGGCATCCTCCGTAGAGGAACCGTGTAACATGCTTCCAAGTTAAATCTGTTTGTTTGTGCTCAACGACGTTCAAAGCCGAGCCCAGAAGCGTGTGGTGATCTAGTAGTTTGCGGGTCGGGGGGAAACCACCAATTAAACCAATGTCATGGGTGAGAACGTGCCCGAGTCTGAAGAAGGGCTAGAACGGTGCGTCACTGGAATCGAGGGATGAGTTTAATTCCTCAGTCGAGGTGAAATTTAACTGCCGTCGCAAAGCAAATCCACGGTCAATGCGAACCCAGCCAAGCGGGACAGGGCAGACGGAATTGAAAGAGAGGGAAAATAAGAAAAAGCAACGAGGCGCGACGAGGTTTATTAGGATTAAGAATTAAGATTAACAACTAAAGAATAGATAACAGAGGCAATTAGTACAACAACAAGAAGGCGATGGAAGGCAGCACAGAGAAAAAGAAAAAGAAAATAAAGAAAGAAAGAGAGAAAGAAGAAAGGTGACACAGCCACCAGGCCCGGGAGAAAAGAAAGGTATTAATCAGTATTATTGTTTAGTTTTAACTAGCGGTGTTATTTATTCTTCTCTTTAGCTCTTGTTGTTTTGACCCTGACCGACTCGAGTAAATGAAAAAAGAGTACTCCGTAATAAATTTTTCGTCGTTTCTGGCTGCCAGGCCCAAAAAGGTAAAGATCGGACCCGTGGGGGAGAGTCCACCGCGTTAATAAATAAATTGAAGGTCTCTTACCGAAATTGTGCTAACTATTGACCCTATCTTGGATGTTGGGGAGGGGGGGAAAATCTCCCCAGGAGGTGGATCAAAATGACTTATGAAATAAGAGAGGAGAGTTGCATATCATATCATGCATTACACTGCCCTGCATCGTCAACACAAAGGGTACAGGCCTTGAGACCAGGAAGAATCTATATCTAATAGCAAGTAATAATATTAAAACAAGCCACTGGACAAACCTTAAATCACCTGCAGGCGGAGATCATCATTTAAAGAGATGCTCATGCTCACTTTTATGGCGCCATGCAAGCCAGAGAAAGACTCTTTTTTTCATACATAACTTTTGCACTATTCCAGTGTCTTTTCATATTTTCATATTTTTATCTTCTCACTCGAGTTATTATAAGTTGACCACAGTTACCTAGTTTCTTACTTCCTATCTCCGACTTTTTTTTTTTTTTTTTTTCCCTTTTTTGTTACCGTTATGTACCTTTGACTTGTTTGTACCCCTGAAATGACTCGGGGCTGATCCATGGACGGATGCCTTAGGGTTGTCGTTCCAATGGTTCCCGTGATGCTTTAGCCTCGGTATCAATATACCTATTCGAGAAAATTTCCTTCTATACTGTCAGATAGATATTACAATTCACCTGGTTCCAACGTCCTTAATTATATTTGCTATATTCAAACAAGCCTCCAAGGTGACTAGTGATTCGTAGATATCAGTCGACTACGCTGGGGATAATTCGTATTGAACAGTAAGGAAAAAATTGATTGCTTTTTTTATGACTTCATGGCCCTATACTCCCAGACCCTGTACAGATAAGAAATGCCAGCGCGAAGATATATCACAAAGTGAGAACGGGAATGATTGAGTTCCCAGAACCAATCAATGCCCCAACCAATATTATACGGGTTCGCTTGTTGCCCGTCAAAAGATAGGCCCCAAACATAGTTCATCGAGTCTAGATCTTTTCCAGGAGCAACTTAGCACCGCTGCTGGTTGGGCTTGATTTCTTCTTTCCATCCTTCCCAGGCTCGGCAGCGGCCTGTTGCAGAGCCTTCTTACCCTTCTTCAAAGTCTTCAACAATTCAGCCTTCTTCTCAAACTCATCGGATTCCGTTAGGGCCACAACCACAAACACATTGGATCCGGTGGCCCATGACATAGTCTCCTCCTGAATTTGTTCATACAGCAGCCCGTGGAAGTTTAACGGAGGCTGCACCTTCTCGACCACTTTCTCAGCACTGTTGAACCGACCTCCTTGAACGAGGGATTTCAGTAGCCGTCCAACAAAAGGCAAATCTTTGGTGTCAGAACGAGTTTTGGCAGCAACCGCGACAGCAGAGAGAGCGTCACTCTTGTCCCCGTCGGCATCAAAGAGAACCTCGGCAATAAACTGACATCCGAAGCTTGTCTCCAAGAGAGAGTCTGCGCGGGCTGCAATGAACTCAAGCAGGGTTGGTGACGCAGCCTTGACCAATTCTTGGCGTCGGACAGATGGGTCCTTCTTCGAAGTCTCCTGACGAATCTCACGAACTTCCTTCAAAACTCCCTGATCAATCTCGGGCAATAGCCACTTGGTCCGGTCTCCCGCAAATGGAAACAGGATAGCGATACGGGCTGTCAAATCGTTGACCTGGTAAAGTAGCTCTTCATTCCGTGCCTCCGCGTCGCCGCCTTGGTTTAGTAGCTCCGGGTAGATCGACTTCGCTGTAAGCTTAGTGTCATCGATAACTTCATATGCTGCCAAGAGAACCATATGGCCGTAGAGGTCACCAGCCATTACCTTGACGGTGTCCTTGTAGAACCGCATAAGCAGTTTGCGGTCTTTAGCGCTGGAGTATGCCAAGCTCAGGCACATCAAACGCGAGCCAGACTGGGTGAACGCCAAATTCTTGACCAGGTCACCTTCTTCGTCACCCTTGAGCAGCTCGATAAACTCATTGGCCTCCGAGCTGCCAGGCTTTGTGTTGAGGAAATATTGCAACATGGCGTCATGCAGCATTGTGAATCCAGTCGTACGCTTCTGGATCAGCTGGTTGACAAGTTCATGAAGAAAATGCATGATAGGTCCCCTCTTCTCTGGGCTCTCTTTAAGAATCTCAGAAAGCTCTGCAGTTGGCACCTTCCCCTTCTCCTCCTTGAAAATACCAAATTCCACACCATACCACTCGCGAAGAAGCTTTGCTTTCTGCTCCTTCGTCGCAACCTGCCGGTAAACATCGTCCAAAATCCAAGATGCTTCGGGGTGTCGGATGAGGCGCTTGGCGTGACCATAGAACTCTGGGATGATCAAGTCCCGAATCTCAGTATCACCGTGGACGATCAGTTTACCAATCAAAAACTTAGCATAGCGGCTCTGCGCAAGCTCATTGTAGTGACCCTTCAACTCTCGCGCAATCTGCTTCCGTTGCTCGATATTTGCGTACTTCAAGGCAGTCTGAATAACACGAACCGAATCGTGCTTGAAGACGAAGTCTCTCACTCGTCCGGTGATGATATCAAAAAGTTCGGCAATGAGTTTCTTTCTCTCTTCAAGCGGAACATGTGACTTTCGGCGCAGACGCTCCCACAGCTGCTTGGAGCGTTGAATCATATCGGCATTGGGCTTTGCAGCTTTGCGCTCCTGCAAGAGAGCCTTTTGCTTTGCATGCGATTCGCGCGAGGATGTCTTGTCTGCAAAAGGTAAACAGTCAGCTTGATATCCAATATTTCGGGTGAAAAGCCTCGTTATCATACTTTTCGCAGCTTCTGCGTTTTCTGCAGGCTTCTTCGGCTCCTCCTCCTCTTCATCTTCGTCATCACTGTCGCCTCCATCATTCATATCAACATCCTCATCCTCGACATCGTCCAGTTCATCAATATCTGAGTCTTCAACATCGTCCAGATCGAAATCATCGTCATCTTCCTCCTCTTCAACCTTCTTGGAAGCCTTTTTATCCTTCTTCTCGGGCTTTGAGCTCTTCTTCGTCACGCTCTTCGAGCTAGATTTCTTCTCAGGTGCAGCTTTGGCTTTCTTCGTCGGCACGGTTGGTGTCTTAGTCTTCGTCCGTTTTCCCTTGCGCTCGTCGCCGGCGTCCACAGGACGCTTTACTCCGACCATGACTATAATGGTTCCTTGCTTTTCCTCTTTTCCAGTTCCAAGAAAACCGAAATCGGATGTTTTGAGAACTTCCTGGTGAGCGAATTCAGTACGTCACCCGCTGGAATTTTCCTTTTCGTTTGGATTACCGCTGCGGATATTTCTTTTTTTTTTTTTTTTTTTTTGCTCCGAAGACCTGGGGCGGTCGGCAAGTTTGCCTTGTTTGCACTTTACTGATAAGGCCTTTGATTTGCGATAAGGGCCTAAGGTTACAGTGCCTCTTACGGAGTAATCACTGTTCCCGTGGATTGAGTATGGGTGGCGAAAGGAAGTCGTTGGAAATTTTTCAAGGAACTCGAACTCTATTATCTGAGTACAACACAAAGAAAATCATACAATCAATTAGGCCGTATGTATGCGTAGCAATGGTGCTTCGGCCATCCAGCGCGCAAGAATCCAAATCAAAGCGCTTGTATTAGTAGTCGATCGGGAAGAAACCCTGATCAATTCCCCGAACGCCTACCCCATTCATTACCCAAATATACCATAGTTGCGAGGATCTCACGCATCACGTAACTCCGACTCTACGGTTGGCGGCGACTTCATAGAGCCCAATTCAGATCCTACATTGCTCTGTCCCCGTTTTCTGCCCGGGATGTGAAAGCCTAGTTTAGAGTTGCTTGATGTTTGACTGTCATTTGTGAAGTCGCCGAGTCGCGAGAATAAACCCTTCTTTTTCGGCTTGGCTTCGTTGTCGTCATCGAGTCCAACATCATCGAATTGTTCTTCTTCCATCGATGTGGGTTGCTTTTGGGGACCCTTTACGTATGGTGACGATAGACGGGAGAAACGCGAGTCAAGCGAGGTGCGAGAGGGCATTGCGTCGCTATGATTTATAGGTGACCGGGCAGATATATCCTGGAATTAGTTATGCGTCAGACCCTCTCAAACATCTCCCGGGGTGGGTAAGAAACTCACAAATGACCGGCGATACGAATCGAAGGATTCGCGGGATATTGAGAACGGCTCATTCTCGTCGACGAGGTCACGATGGTTCGAGGATTTATTGGAGCCTGGGTACCTGCGCCAGAAGCTCTGTTTTTCCGGCGGAGATGGCTATTGGTAGATGTTTAGCCGCAGCGCAAAAGATGCAACACCAGCACGTGGTTGAGGGGTTGTTGAATTACCGGAAGATAGGCTCCATTATCGTCGACCACTGTTTCGCGGACAAATATTAGCGGCGTCTATATCCATTGCAAGCAGAAAGAAGAACATACCACTCAGTTTATATTCAGGAGGTCCATTGTCGGTGCTTTTCCTGATATTTAAGGGCGATGAATGATGGCTGTCTGCGGGCAAGCGACTAACGTTATCGGCTTCCCCGCCATTAGGCGCCGCGGACTTTTTGGTGAGGAAGTTGCGGAACGGGGTCATATTTAGAGTAAAGAGGTCGTGGGGGAAATTTTTTGAATTGTGTAAAAGGGAATTGCACTGCCCTACCGAGGCGACAATGGGTACAGAGGGTAAGGTAGAGAGGGTTTAAATGGATCGTACGAGTGGTCAAAGTCAAGAGACGCAACCTCACATGATCGGCGCCTCGGCGGCGGTACAAATAATGAAATGGTGATTTATCCGTTTGATGTAAGGGAACGACGATCCCAGTAGGATAATTTATCTAATGTAAATTAAGGGCCCACTAGCCAAGTGTGGGGGGCAATTGGATTGGTTGGTTCTGGTGTGAACTTCATAACGCGCTGAGCATACCTATAGAGTAGCACAACCTTGTGCTTACTACAAGCAAAGTACTCTATATCTACTGCTTTCCTCGATAACATATCAGTTATACTGGATGGGAACTCGCTGTTTTGTAAAAGTGGTAATGTAGCTAGCCGCGGTTTTTTTAGGATATTAGATTCTTGTATTAGGTGTGATCCAGTCATCTCAGAAATATAAATTAGGGCTTCAGGTTGTACTCTACACAATATTACTATAACTTGGAAAACTTAAACATGGTAGCTACACTGTAGCTCGCCTTGGTACTACCTATAATTCGCCCATTCTGATAATAAATCATATCACTACATAATGTCACGCCTGCCTGCTTCTTAGTCCCGTTCAGGAGTTGACAAATTCACGATGATGTGTTGAACTATCCGTTGGTGTAGTGCTGCAAAAGTCTCTAGGACACATGATCCTCTACCTACTTATTACCGAAAGACTTCCTCTACATCTCGAGCTGTTGAAACTTCATAGCATACCAATGCATGCGTAGATTCAAATATTATATCAAGGATAAGCAAAGATATTAGATGTCCAATATAACATGTCTCACTGTCTTCTCCTTCCTGAGGGGCCGTCTGAATTGTAGATTCCATTGCCACATCTGTTCTCGAAACCACATCACGAAGCTGCCTGAACATCGCGTGCGCAGTCTACAGCAGCGTATGATGACACGATATAGTCATTTGTATAGGTTTTTCACGCAGCTGCCTACGCCATTAACCACGGTAACGACAGCTAGTTTTCCACTTGAGTCAGAGTACTTATACCATCCCTCGCCATCTTTTCTGCTTTCTTCTTCACAACTACCTGCAACTTTCAAGCATACCTCCAACCAATATCAGCTACCTACAGACACTTCTTTCTCCTCATCAAGCTACAATACCCTGTCTTACAAACAACCTGCTCAAAGCAAAATACTCTGCAGTTATCAAAATGGTCCGTCTTCTTACCTTTACTGTTCTGGCCGCTGCCACCGTCGAGGTAGCCTCTGCTGTTGCCCTATCCACTCCACGCAGCCCCGCCAATGTTACTATTTGGCGTCGTGATGATGTCCCTATTACTACTGTAGCAGCAAATGCAACCGATACAGCCGTTACAGGCGACAAGGCACCCACTGAGAACAAGAATGGAGAGAGCGCCCCCAGTGACGACTCAGTCACCAGTGACGACGATGAGGTCTCCACCGACGGTTTGAACTGGCGCCGTAGGGGCAAATGCCGCTCCGACCTGGACTGTGATCTTGGCTACCTGTGCAGTGCCGGCCGTTGCATTCTTGGCTGCCTGGCTGATAAAGACTGCCGCCGGGGTCAAACGTGCCTGGGTGGACAGTGCCGTACTGCAGGCGGAGCCAACCCCCCGTCATGCAAGCCTTACAAGCAGCTGTGTGCCGCCAATGAAGAGTGTTGCTCGGGTGTCTGCCGCCTGGGATGGCGTCTGACGAGGGAGTGCAAGCATAACAAGAACTGAGGTGTCTTCTGCTTGACTCATAAATGGGTGAAGAAGAGGGCAAACGGAGAAGTTTGACATGCGTATGGAGCTGCTTTAGTTGATGAGTTTGGGTTCATGTTTGGTATTTGCTTTGAACGAGAGTTTGGATGAGGGTATATGTCTCATATATGAGGGAAAAGTTCTGTTTGAAGTTCTGTAATCTAAAAAAACAAAAACACACACAAAAGACCACAACAAAAAAAAAATTCTTTGCTCACCATACATTGTGTTTACCGTAACCTCGATGCATGGCCAAAAACACTCGACACATGATTTTAAAAAGTGAGCAATACAGGTTATATTTTAAAGCAATTTCTAACATCTTTAATCTGTCATGGATAAACTAGTGGGAGGTCAGCCGCTAAGACGATAACCTTGCTTAGGTTCTCCGCACCAGCGGGACCGGTGCCTGGTACGAATCCTGGGGTCGTCGTTGTACTCGTGCGAGTAATCCACGATCGCTACAACGCGCTAAGCAATGGAGATGATTCTTGAGGGAAGCAATTCTGCAGAGACATCTCCACCCTGGGGTGGCGTCGCCAGAATACACTGACCCGTTACAGGGAAATTGGCTACTTGGCTGGACAACTACATCTCTCTTCTTTTTTTTCCATTACAATTTTGCGCCCTGTTTTCGTTCACATTGTCTTCCTATGCCACATTTATATCTAGTCACAGCACCTTTCTTTTCTGCCCAACTGTACTTTCACCAGTGGTATTTATAACGACTTATTTGTTTTATAGTTCTTCAACACCCCTTATATATTGCATCACCATAGGCCAGGTCTTACGATGCATTTACAAGTAGTTCTTGAAAATGTACCCAAGTGACACATATTACATGCTCCAACAGAAGAGGAAGTATCAGTCAGATGTGCTTTCCATTTTTCTGTCCGATCCTGGCCTCACATACGCCGCGTTTGCACTTTCCACCAGTGTTCTGAAATTAGAGTGTCACACTGTCACTTCCATGACAGCTAGTTTCCTGCTTTTACCCCCCTTGGCTGAGGACTGGATCTGCACTATAGCCTTAGAGTAATTCGCCCCAAACCACAGCTTTCCTCTTCACCACTAGTTGATAGGCTGACCGGACAAGAGCCCTCGTCCACATATTGGCCAGTCAGTGAACATAGTTCAATCTCCGCTACTTGCTTCTAATTCCTGTCTTAGGGCACTAGTCTCACACCTTGCCCGTCTGCCAAATCCGGCTTCACCATGCGGTTTTGGGTGGATTGGGCATTGTGGCAGAAGCTTAGTTTTGTACGGATGCAATGACGGAATATGAAACTGGGGCGTTGCTAATGACGACTTATATAGGTGCTCGCGGGCCTTCTCGTAATGTGACGAACCCCACGGTACTAGGATCACCACTGATATGACAAGGTTCTCGTGCTTATTTATTCGCTCTGCGTCCTTTTCTACAACAGACGGGCCACCAGGAAACATGCCGCTGAAGATGCGCATTGGAAGACAATGCAGGATGCGGAGCAACATCCGATGCTGTCAGAAACGAATGAGGTGCCGTTCGGTGCTAGAGCTTTAGAGCGAGGCATTCTTGTGGAAGGCATCTGGACACCAGGCCAGGAGTCTCCGATGGAACCTAATACACCAACTAGGCACGAAAGCGCTGGACCGGCCCTGACGCAGCTTCCCGCGAGCCCAACAAGTATGGTACAGAGGCCTTCTCAAACATACATGCCGGTGTCTCTATCAATCCAGTCAGGTCCCAGATGGGCTCCAGCAGTTTCCGATATTAGGGCCGAATCATCGGATAGTCTTTACCCCGACACTCTGCATGCAAAAAAATCTCGCCAATCAGATGTTCAACCAGTCGGTAAGTCCCATGATGTAGCTGACTCGGATGTTGCCCGATCAAAGCTACGACTCAGCTCTCGTGGCTCATGGATCAGCAAGCCTTTTGACAAGCGAACGTCAGGCGTTGAAGGTAAGCCCACGACTTCATCCTAGTTTGCGAGATTAGGGTGCATAGGAGATTTGTGGTAACAGGATGCCGAAACTGACGAGCTTCCATAGGAGCCCATCCGCGAACTTCCTCCGAAGAGTTTAGGCGCAGGATTAGCAGATTGTTCGACGAAAATGTCCACGCACGCCCGATCGAAATGTTTCAGTTGCAATCCAATTCTTCGGAGTCTGTTGATGGTCGTCAAAAGGAACTCATCCCAGATCCATCGATGCATAGGCCAAACCATGCAATCCGTTGATTGAATAGTTCCATTGTTTACTTTCCCGAAAAAAAGGGATTATATGCTATTATCAGTTGGTCATGTAATGTGCCCCAGAGCGTGAATTATCAGCCTTGAAGATTTTCATTCTTTCCTGTTGGATACAGCCATCTGTCTCGTCGGCCTTGCCTCAATTGCGCTCTGGGAAGCTCTGCGACGCATAATGATCATTCCACTGTGGGGCGATACAACTATACTGTTAACGTGGAAAAATGTTCGTTGTATCGGTTGATAACCGTCAAGAGACTTTTCGGACTCAATGAAACAAAACGTAATGAAGCAAGCTCATGACCCACACATTAAGGCCCGTCTCATGTTTACGTGCATTATTGTTCCAATATAGAGTTGCGTAATTGTAGGCGTACCTCTTGACATAAGGCAGCAGCCTTATGTGCCTGGCACACGTGACCTCGTGACGGCTTCGACGCGTCCAGAACCTCAAACAAATTGTGTATCGCCGAACAGTCAGACGCCGTTTTGCCACATTGACCGTCTTGCGAGTCTTAAATAAGACTTCTATTGTTTTCAAATCGGTGGCTACTGAGCAGTCTTTAGGATATTTGTCCGAGAAGAAACACCCCTAGCGCAGAATCTACCCACAGTCACAATAGAACGCGTACTGTCGCGCTGAGAAGACTGTGCAAGACCAGTAACAGTTGCTTGCTATCACTCTTGGAGCTGGCCAGAGGGACACTTCACTTGCCTACCTGATTGAAAATGACAGCGGATATGGATACTCAGAATGAATATGATGATAGTGGACTCCCCGGGCCCGGAGCGCCCACGCCACTTTCAGCTTTAGAAGTGAGGATCTCTATTGTCCACATAATACAGCATTACACGCTTGTCTTAGCAAAAAAAAGCCCTTCCAATGACCCGTACTGACCATGACTTGATAGGGTGTTGCGGGTTTAACGGGAAGAGATATCAAATTGTTTGTCGACGCCGGCTATCACACTGTCGAATCAATTGCATATACGTACGTCTTTCCTCTCGAATGCTTAAACAAGCTTGCTGCTGCACCAAAAATGGAGATATTAAGGTGATACTGACGTTGGCGTTGGTGGTACATCATAGACCGAAGCGTCTACTGGAACAGATCAAAGGTATCTCTGAGCAGAAGGCCACCAAGGTTTTGGTTGAAGGTTAGTCATCTCAACTCATGGAGCTCAGTCGTTTGTAAAGATCCATGCTGATTATATCTGATAAATAGCTGCCAAGCTTGTGCCAATGGGTTTCACCACTGCAACGGAAATGCATGCTCGTCGAAGCGAGCTCATATCGATCACAACAGGATCCAAGCAATTGGATACTCTCCTAGGCGGTGGTATAGAAACCGGATCTATCACCGAGATATTCGGAGAATTTAGGACAGGTAAAAGTCAAATTTGCCACACGCTTGCGGTGACTTGCCAGCTGCCATTCGACATGGGTGGTGGGGAAGGGAAGTGTCTTTACATTGATACCGAAGGAACATTTCGACCGGTGCGTCTGTTGGCAGTTGCTCAACGATACGGACTTGTCGGGGAAGAGGTGCTTGATAATGTGGCCTACGCCCGCGCCTATAACTCAGATCACCAGCTCCAGCTGCTAAACCAGGCATCTCAAATGATGTGCGAAACTCGTTTCTCGCTTCTTGTCGTCGACTCCGCTACATCGCTGTATCGGACAGATTTCAACGGCCGAGGTGAACTATCAACTCGGCAAACACATCTGGCTAAATTCATGCGTACCTTGCAGCGCTTGGCGGATGAATTTGGTATTGCCGTCGTCATCACAAACCAGGTCGTCGCTCAAGTCGACGGCGGCCCGAGTGCGATGTTCAATCCAGACCCCAAAAAGCCAATTGGTGGAAACATTATCGCGCACGCCAGCACGACCAGACTGAGCCTGAAAAAGGGGAGAGGAGAGACCCGAGTGTGCAAGATCTATGACAGTCCCTGTCTGCCCGAGAGTGACTGTCTTTTTGCCATCAATGAAGATGGTATTGGGGATCCTAGCCCCAAGGACTTGGAGAATAATTGAGGAGCGATGCAGCTATATGAATTACTTATGATACCACGATCGGTATATGTTTCTTACTTTCTTTGTTCATTAGATTAGTACATATTGTTTAGTATCTTGATTTTGATAGCATATGGTGTTTGTGGTATTGTGTTAGATATTATGTGTTAATTGAGATAAAAAGTTAATCACTTGAAATAAGAACCATGATTTATATATATGAAGAACATAGGGCCTTTCTTCCAACAATATCATTTCGAACGATTTGTTCCCTCCTTCCATCAAACTTGTAAATCTCCAAAGGCGGTGGATGCGCGTTGCTAAGGCTGGCGCCAAGACCGTGTTTTTTCTGAACAGAGCTTCGGAGCTTCCCTCTTCCAACTCCACGGGCTGCGACATTCCACTTACTTGCGACAATCGGCCATGGAGACTTGAAGTGACCAATTTTACAAATTAGTGGAAGGTGGTCCCTCGTTAATTCGACATGGCGAAAATTTATAAAGACACCAAGGTCGACCTTCGGCCGTACTCATCGAACGCCGTCGTCAACATCCAGATTCCAACACATACGAGTACGCAAAGCCGAGCGCGATTCTCTATATCCTCCTCTGTAGGCGCAGACGAACCGATAGCGAAAGATGAGGAGGAATTCTCTAGACGATATCTCTCGAGCCAGGGCTCAGTCTACTTTCGCAAACGCAGTGTCTATCCCCGATCGTTCCTATGGAGGGTTGTCAATGACAGCAAGGTGCTTGAGATTCAATGTGTCGATTTGACGAAGGGCGGCATCGAGCATTCTGTGTACAACAATACCATACGCTTGGATTTTCAAGAAGAGATTCTTCCTTCATGTGTTGACTTCTCAGACTTAGAAGATCATGAAGTGCTGAGCGTTTTCGTGATCACGGCCTCCAAGCAGCTTTACACCTTGAGTTTGCGTCCCGAATTTTTCCGCAGAACAAGTGCGATTGATAACAATGTATCGGACTGGTGCAAGAGCTGTGTGCCGGCTCCCTTGTCGTTCTCCTACCCCCATCGATTGCATGCTAGCAGTCCGCTTGAGCTGTTCATCTCCCTCGATAATGGCGCACTTCTGCGCCTAACCCGGAGATCGGGCGATGATGGTAATGCTCCATGTTTCGCTCTGAAATTGACAAAGGGGAATTGAGAATGCTAATTCAATTGATTCCCAGGCTCAAATTGGTCCCCTCTTACCTTCGACGAGAGAACTTGGGGTGCCTCTATCCGCGGATTGGTTAGGTGGCACGCGCAACCTTCAATTAAATACAAAGGACGCAATCTCGACACAAACCTGGCAAATGCGATCGCCACGACATCTGATCAGACTTACGCTTTCGCTGTCTGTTTGAATCACACTTTAAAGATTTGGAACCTAGCTACAAACAAGCTAGCTGCCACGACTGACCTGCTAGGCCGTGAAGTGCAAGAGCCAGATTCGCTGTCGTATACATTAAACCCGGCTGATTCATCCTTCATCCGTGTGTTCAACGTGGAGAGAGCTCTGGACGGGGCATATCGGTATTACATTATCACATATTCGCCTTTTGAAGATGGACGTTTCAAGTTCTGGGCTGTAAAGGGAGGCTTGACATCGCCGCTCGTCATCGAAGATCTCTTTCCAGATGCTCCGCTGCGGCCCTTAGACCCTGATTCGACGGGGAGTGTGTTCTGGAGTATTATAGATTTCCAGCTCAAGCCGGCTGAAGAAGGGAAAGGAATGGAACTCTGGGTCCTTTGGAGAAACAGCGGCGTCTATCAGCTTTACACGCTACATTTCAGTTTCGAAACTCTAGTGAGAGACTGGAATACCAATTGGGTGTCGACGGCGATCGACACTCGCGGACAGGAGCCTCCGCCGCCTATGGCATTCTCCGACGTGGTGGACCCGACAGAGAAGTGGCTGAAGTTCCTTTTACAACCCAACAAGTATTCGCCCGAGGTGCTTGAGACTTCCCTAGCGGTTTATCAGGAGGCGCTCCGGCCCCTCTCTTCCAATGTTCTAAAGAAAAGTGCATCACTAACTGAGCGACTCTGCTCTACTATCGCTGCCACTGTATCGCTTCGGAAGTATGCCGATGACGAGATGGATTTCGCTAGGTATCGCACGGATACAGACGCAAAGTGGCGCCAGTTTTGGCAGATTGCGGAAGATATTAATAAGAGGCGATTCGAGCCTGTTTCTCTTCTTTATGACAGCTACTATGAGACTCCATGGCTGCTCCTCTCAGATAGCTGCGCAGTGATCAGGGAATGCAGCTCAACCGAGTTGCTTTTGCATAACTCGGGTGCTGAACTTCGCACCGAAGGACACAAAATTGCGGATCGCTGGAGGCACAGGAACCTGGATGAGGAGATTGGAAATATGTTCGAGCAAGCTTCTCGACTGATAACAGTTGCCTCCGGGTTCAGAAGAAGGTTCCCAGCTGAACTTAATGCAGCTTGTCAAAATGCTCTTGAAGCAGAGCTATTCACTGATCCATCCTCGTCTGTTCAGGACAGGATGGACGCTTTCCGTGATCGTTGCGACTTTGGCGAACAGATTTCTAACAAGACCTATGACGGTCTGCTTGCGGCTATGGATGGGTATCTGAACATCTACAATCTGCCGAACAATGTTTTCTACACCATCATAGACACGATCCCACTTGGGTTCCCCGGAAAGGATTCAGACCTTTTGGCGACCCACTTCGGAGTGAAGGTTACTGTGAATGGCGTGCAGGAGGCGATACTATATACACGTCAGCTCCTCATCGACCTCTTAGTCCTCGTAGTTTTTGTGGACGGTGAGGTTCAGCAAGAAGACACATCTGAGTTCGATGCCGTGGACTTGTTCGGTTCGCTAATAACATTGTTAAGAGAGTATGAGATGATGGCCTGGCTCAGCTCAAACACCCGGAAATGTCTTGATAGGCCTATAAATACCTCAGATGACCAATCAGCGTCACAGTTCTCTTTGAAGGACTCGGCTTCGAAGACCACAGGCTCAAGAATGGCAACTATTCTAGAGGACTTGTTTGCTAGTGATATCAAACCCCGGCAGATTATCGGTCTACCTCAAAGCTATACTCTAACGCTGGGAATCCATGATGTTCTGTCCTGGGTCACACGCCAAGGCGAAGTAGCTTTTCCAAACGCCCTGGTTTACATTCAATGTGATCTCATTGCAAAGAACAACATTGATCTTGCTTGGGACTTCCTTCGTTTCCAGCCAAGCACTTCTTGGGCGACATATGTGAAAGGTCGTCTGTATGTGGCTATGTCTGAATTCGACACTGCGGC